GCGCCACACCAGTCACGTGACCTCGATGACGCAACAATATGTACACATCCATCTCTCTCAGGTGCTAGCAATATTAACCATACAAGTGTAGTGTAATTGTTAGAGACAGACTAAGATGTAAGTTCGTAAATTTTACAAAAATTTTAGAGCTTAATTTACATTATTATTTGTAGTTTGTATTTATGGCAAAGCTACTAAGTCTATCTGCCCCGTCCCTAATTTTGAACTATTGAAGAAAAGGAATGCAGCCGGTCAACAGCATCCTACCATCCATTGTCCACGCTAAGAGATTGAATTTAACTTTTATAGTGCAACGACAGCTTAAAGAATGGGGAATATTTTGTGGTATCGCACGGATTCAAACTCAACTCGCCAGCGCTAAAGGATCGACTAGCGCCAGACACCAGTGACAGTAACAGACAAAACTTCATTTAGTAAATGTCAATCACATAAGGTTTTTTATATTGAGTTCTTTTATGGCCATGTTTAACAAGCTCATTTTTCTTCTCGGTAGATATATGATTTATTAAACATGAAAATTAGTTGACATAGAAAACATGAAAAATAAAAACACCTTTATCTGCGTACACGCCAGTAACCTGACAGAGAGACAGGACACGGGCTTAACGTCAGTTAAAAATACAGTTCACTGAAAATATAGTAAGATTATTTATTTGGCAGAGCACCTGGATCTTTAAACGGATACAAGAAAAATACGTGAAGTAACTGATTTAAAGCTGCTTGGTCATCTTAAAATTTGTAAAGCCACTTAGCAAACGTAAGCGCATTACAATGCTCTAGGCTGGTTTCAAATAAGGTAACTTTGTATTACACGTCTTTTTTCGAACGAAATATCACTGGATGATTTTCAGCTAGTTGCGCGTGGCGCACCAGAATCATAATATAACACATCACCTAAAAAAAGCATATCAGCATTAAAGAGGAACTGTTGGAAAACTAATCATGTAAATGATTCAACAAATCGTGATTTTTTTTAGCCCCAGAGTTGTGAAGTACTCAAATTTAAAGTTAGTGTTTTCTTTTGATTCTGAAATATATAATTGTTTTTTGTTTTTTTTGTTTTACTCATAACTCATAAAGTCAGTCACCCACAAGAAGTTGTACACAGACTGATAGGCGGAATAAGTCAATACTTACAGAATAGTGATTTATAACCTGTTAAATGGCAGTAAACGTTATGTTGGTTTTATACAAACGAAACAAAAAGCTCAATACCTGGAATGGCCTTTTGAATACTGATATCCACTGTCTCGCACTACCTGTCGAGCCAAGGGGAAAAGTTCGTCTCTTCGAGTGAGCAGGGCAGGGATGTGCTTACAGATCTGAGCAGCTGCTTCATTTACGGACACCTAGAAACATTAATGAAAGCATCCACATCATTAAGTCAACCGAAAGCGTAAAAGAATGTGACTACTGTCCAAGAAAATCCCGAGTTTACATGAACCTGGAAACAATATGGTAGAATCAAAATATCTGAAATTGTAATAAATTATAAGTGACTTTTCTTCAATAAAATTATTTCGGTGAATTATATATATACATATTATTCTCAGGTTAACAAATAATAAATGTGTTAATTTATGTTTGTTAATTTAATCTTTTAACACACAACGTTCTCAATTAGCATAATTTATTATGGACAACTGGTGGGATTATATATATAAACGTATACATATAAATTTCAATCAATATTTCATAATAAAGTAAAACTTTAACTTAAATAGAATATATTAAACTGTTCTTGTGTCCTTGAAGTTCATCAAATTATACAAAATATATTTTACTAGTACATCTCGTGCAATGTTAAATATATCTTATTACACTTCGTGCAGCGTTAAATGTGCCTAATTATAACACTATATTACACAAAACAGTAACGGATTTCCTAATGAATATTACTGATCAGGTATAAGCGATACAAACTGACTGCATTATGTCCTAACATATCATGACAGAAATGTACCATTTTATTATTAAAATCGTTTTACAATTTCTGTCAATAACTCCAATTCACTTATCCTCTGTAAAAGTTCCGTGGGTAATACAAATAAACGTTGGGTACAGATTATACCCATGTTGCCAATAAACCTCTGTTTGATATCTTTCAGTAGGAGGGTTCAAATCCCATTAAGAATAGAGTCTTATATGTTACATGCCAAGAAACACCCACCTGGTGTGATACGTTCAACAGCTTTAATATTAAGTAACGATGAACTGCACTGTCAAAGTAAATAAGGAACAGATAAAGCAGGTCAATAAATTCAACTACCTGGGAAGCTGGATATCGTCAGAAAGTAAGTGTGACCATAAAATAAAATAGAGAATATGAATGGCAAAAGACGAATTTCTGAAAATGAAAAATATGTTGACAAATAGTAAAATTTCTATGGGGACGAAGTTAAAAGTTTTGGATTGCTGTGTTATACCAATTGTCACGTAAACAACAGAATGTTGGACATATCGCAAAGTATGGAAAAGCGATTGAATCAATTGAGTTGTGATTCCTTTAGGCGTATCTTGAAGGTATGTTGGACTAGTCACGCCTCAGATGTTGATATTTTGTCAAGAGAAGATTGCAGGAGGAAGCTACTGACTTACATCAGAAAAAGACAGTTGGAGTTTCTGGGACCCGTTATAAGGAAGGAAGAAACTGAAAGTGTGGTCTGTTTGTTTGTAATTAACCACAAAGCTATACAATGGGCTATCTGTGTTCTGCCCATCACGGGTATCAAAACCCGGATTCTAGCGTTGTAAGTCCGCAGACATACCGCTGTGCTACTGGGGGGAGGCTGAAAATGTGGATGTAACTGGAAAGGTTGAAGGAGAGACCGTGGCAGACAGAGGTTGAATTATGTCAAGAGTTTATCTAAATGGATAAATGTATCAACATTGGAGCCCCCAGTGGCACAGCGGTATGTATGCGGACTTACAATGCTAGAATCCGGTGGGCATTCGATACCCGTGGTGGGCAGAGCACAGATAGCCCATTGTGTAGCTTTGTGCTTAATTACAAACAAACAAATCAACATTGGAAATTCTTTGTCTTAAAGAGAAGAGATCTATGGAAGATCATGATACGATATATTCATATATATATATATAGAGAGAGAGAGAGAGAGAGATGGTGAACTAGAATATAATGATGAAATTATATTTAATAACATACAATTACTTTATTATTTTGTAGAAAATAGAATTATATATATATATATATATAAACACACATTATTGAAACAAACCTCATGCAAAGTTAAAGGTTTTTCTGGTTTCCTCTTGCAGTCAAATCGACCATAAATTGCTGCATATTTCCTCATTTCGTCCATCCTCCGAGGATCATCTTCAGGCATGCTCATCGCGTACTAAAAGAAATATATTTACAACATTCTTATTACATGTTGAAAAATACAAATCCATTATTTGAATAATGAAATATAAAATATCCATTCATAACATACAAAACATGGGTAGGAAAAACAAGATCTATTCTTAACATATTTAACAAAAACTTGAAAATACAATTAAAAAAAGGCCAATATTCACGGGTGAATGTAACCTGTCTCCGCCATGCAGTCCCAACAAAGCAAATTTTGACACCAGAAAAATCGTGAAAAACACATACAAATCGAAAATTGTTTATATTACTGTTTTGGACCTCCAAGAAGGCATATTTGTACCAAATCCCATGTAAGTTGTTAACGTACTCATTAATAGTTCATAAAAAATCCAAACTCTACTTTCTTCGCTGAAATATTGAGCAAAAGACAAAAAAATCAAAATCGTTCATAAGTCTGTTTGGGACCTTTAAAAAAAAGTATCCCATATAAATCGGCTGAAATATGACGGAGTAAATGTCAAAAACTCCTAAAATTATGCACTAGTAACTGGAAAATATAAATTGTGTGATATTCTGAGAGAGGGTAGAAGTAAAGTAGCGATTTTGTACAGCAAAATATATGATAAAGTTATTCATAAATTGAAGTTTCAAAATGGAAACAATATATTTACAAAAATCCTTGTTAGACATTATCAATGGCAAATAAAAAGAACGGCTCAAAGGTTGGTATACGCACACAAATATGAAAAAAAAGAGACACTTTTCTATGGCATGATTTAGATAATCATTAAAATATCCCTAAATACAAGTTATCACAAAGAGAATGTCTTATTTGGTTTATTAATTACTACAAGTACGTGTTATAAGATATTTTGGTGTAGCGAGCACAAATGTTATGAAAGAATACATTTGACACACGAAATTAAAATGTATGATGCCAGTTAAATGCTCATTAACAGATGGCGTCTGACGGCTACACGTGACCTGAATGACGGTTCACCAAATATATTTCTATGGCAACATTAAAAACGGATTGTTGGTCGTTAAAGTATTGTATTCAAACCATTCAAATCCCAAATACGCAGAGGGCATTTTCAACTCATCAAGTTTTGCATTCAGCTGTTCTTGAGCTAACTTATATCAAACAAAGATTGATTATACTCAAACCTTTAGGCAATTCAAGGACCAACAGCCATACGAATCACAATTCACAAGATGATGATTATGATGAATTGCCAGAGGAAGAGTTTCTTTTAGTTATGTATCATTTTCTCGTTATTTTGATCTTGAGTGTTATTATCATACATATAGTGATACAGGAAAGATGATCATGTTTAAAACGTACAAAATAAAAATAAAAAAACATAAAAAAAACGTAGTGTTCAGCGATGACTTAGCAAGCTACCTGAAAAGTTCGATGACGAGGAACCCACTTTGAAACTAATAATGCTTGGAGACGGCTTGAATGGGTAATGAAGAAAAACCTTAATGTAAGTTTAACATAACAGCAAATGTACAACGTTTCGACAAGGTTTTGTCATCATGATGTGTTAAACTTATACTAAAATTTTTCTTCATTACCTATTCAACCCGTCTCTGCCTGGCATAGCCAGGTGGTTAGGGCGCTCGACTCGCAATCTGAGGGTCGCTGGTTCGAATCCCCGTCACACCAAACATGCTCGCCCTTTCAGCCGTGGGAACGTAATAGTGTGACGGTCAATCCCACTATTCGTTGGTAAAAGAGTAGCCCACGAGTTGGCAGTGAGTGGTGATGACTAGCTGTCTTCCCTCTAGTCTTACACTGCTAAATTAGGGACGGCTAGCGCAGATAGCCCTCGTGTAGCTTTGTGCGAAAATCGATAAACAAAACAAGCCGTCTCTAAGCATTATTATCTGAAAAGTTGTCTTACGCTGTAAAATAAGACTTCGATGACGCGGATCCAACACACTGTGTTTTATTAACAACATCTCCTACCCCCACCCTTGTTGTTGTTCTTAGTCAGTTAGGCTTAAAGGCTCTATTACAAATGAGAATATGTTTATGAAAAAGTATCATTAACATAAAATTAAAAATAATTCATTTCTGTTATTTTTGGAGCTTTTTCCACATACATATACCATAAATATATTTTCTTCAACAAATCTTTGTAACACAAAACTTTTTAAATGAAGTGCAAAACATAGGCATATACTTCACGGTTAAATTTGGATAATAGAGCAATAGAACCTTCTTTGGACAATCTATCCCTCTAGGTATTTTTTTTTACAATTAATATATTATGTACGAAGATTTGTATATATATTTCTTGTATGTTTTTTTAAACAGTAAAAATTAATAAAAAACAACTAATATTCCTAAATACTTACATAAGATGCAGAAAAAAATAGTTAAAAGTAATACAGAAATATTTCCTAACGAAACACCTGGATACTAACATACATACCTGTATAAGATGTTCAAGTAACAATTAAAAGTACAAAAAACAGGGATATTTCTTAATTTAGCTTTTTACAATAAACTAATGAAAAAATACGTATGGTCAAGCAACTTTGATAAATCTTCTGCAGGATTAAAGAAGAACGCCTGTTGCAGGCACTAACTGATTTAGTTACGTTGGGTTTCTTCAAGTTAATCCAATCATTCGATACTAATAACCTAGTATTACTTTCTGTTCTAGATAATAAACTCAATTACAAGAACGCATATCTCTAAATCTCTTTAAAACTCACGAGCAAGAAAGTTATTCCCATTGCACTACTTTACGTTACGTACAACAATATCTGTGGTCTACTTACCTAAAAACTGCTATTCCGTTCCTGGGGAGGTAAGTGGATCACAGACAATGTTAAGTAAGTGCTGTGTAGTTCCTGGGGAGGTAGTAGACCACAGATAATGTTATATAAGTGCTGTGTAGTTCCTGGGATAACATTATCTGTAGTCTACTTACCTCTTCAGGAACCAAACATCACATTATGTGTAACATTATCTGTGGTCTACAAACCTCCTCAAGAACTACACAGCACATTATGTGTAACAAGATTTGTGGTTTACATACCTCTTCAAGAACTACACAGCACATTATGTGTAATATTATCTGTGATTTACATACCCTCTCAGGAACTACACAGCACATTATGTGTAACATTATCTGTGGTTTACTTACCTCTTCAGGAACTGCACAGCACATTACTTACAACATTCTATGTGATCTACCCATTCTATAGAAACTACACAATGGTGTCGAGTAGACCTGATGAAGAAATTAGCACAGAGTTCAAAAAGTCGTTTCCAAAACTTGACAGAAGGCAGAAGCAGTCCATATGAAACTATTATATTGCATTATGTAAAACATTTTCTATGGTCTACCTGTTATTGTTATGTTTTGATTTTCGCGCAAAGCTACTCGAGGGCTATCTGCACTAGCCGTCCCTAAGTTTGAAATGATAGACTAGAGGGAAGACAGCTAGTCAACATCATCCACCACCAATTCGTGATTAATATAATCAACTAATGGGATGGACTATCACTCTTATAACGCATCCACGATCTTAACGTGCTGAGTGCGTGTTTTTCTTGTTATTATTTTTTTTTTTGCGGTAATGAGGTACAAACCACGGAACCTCAGATCCACTGTCCCACACGCTAACCATTGGACGGCGTTCGGCTTATGGTTTACCTACCCCTTAGAAATTACAAAACAGGTGTTTACATTGTGTACAACATTATGTGCGACATTTTACCACAATTTCAACACCAAAAAGTAATTTTGACACCTTTTAAGTTAAAGTTAATTGAAAGTAAAGAAAACACACACACATAACAGTGATAAAAATAGCTTATATGACAAAACCAGTAAATGTCTGGTCGGTAAAGTGAAGAAAACACAAAGAGAGAGATATATAATAGTAACATAAATAACTTATATGACAAAACCAGTAAATATCTTGATCGGTAAAGTGAAGAAAACACACACACACACACATATATATATATATAAAATAGTGATGCAGATAACTTACATGATTGTTTATTTCTGAATTTCGCGCAAAGCTACACAAGGGCTATCTGCGCTAGCCGCCCCTAATTTAGCAGCGTAAGACTAGAGGGAAGGCAGATTGTCATCACCACCCACCGCCAACTCTTTGGGCTACTTTTTTTTCAACGAATAGTGGATTGACCGTCACATTTATAACGCTCCCACGGCTGAAAGGAGGAGCATGTTTGGTGGGACGGGGATTCGAACCCACGACCCTCAGATTGTGAGTTGAGCGCCCTAACCACCTGGTCATGTATCTGAAAGAAAGCTATAAAATAAAATAGGAATGAAATAAAGTATAAATAAAATAGTTTTATGGCATCGCTATTTACCTATTTAATTATCTTAGATTTTAATGTTACGAATCACAAGTAATTTTACTGAAAAGTTTTTACGGAGAAGATTCATGAATGTAATCTTATTTACCTCTCGGAGTGCAAGGTAAACTATCTCCTACAATTGTACTTTACGCATTACTTGTGTATGATAGGCAGTATAGACATGGATGAATTGTGGCTCTAATGGACTGTTCCTTGAGTGAAACGACGTTTCGGCTTCTACAATGAGCTTTCTTCAGGTCGACCTAAACAGGGCCTCACTATAGAAACCGAAACGTCGTCTCACTATGAAAATAAATAGGAGCAGTCCAATAAAGCCAAAAGTATTATTTACATAACTCTTTTTGTATAATGTAACTAAGTCATTTCACTAAAGAAATATCCTATTTAATGGACATTTTTATTGAAGTTCCAGAGGTATATTTACTCTGTCATAAAACGTAGTTACAGATGATCTTCCATTCCCATGAATATCATACAAAAAATTAAATTTTTAATATATCTTAAGTCTGTTAAATTATTTAACCTAACAAAAAGGTTAAGAGGTTTGGCTCAAAATCAGTTTCATTACAGATTAATGAAGATCACAGTCATTGAACTAAAGAGAAAAAACAATGACACTGACAAGATTATCTTGCCATCACATTATTTAGCCAAAACTTCTTAGTAATATGAATGTTCAATGACCATACTTGACACAATTTACAGATTTTACAACTGATCTTTGCTTTACATTTACTTTCCCAACATCGATTAGGAAGTGGGGGGGGGAGTTTATGGCTGCGAGGTACCAATAAGCTCATCAGACATACTGGATAACTCTGGTGTTGTTTATTATATTTTGTACATGAATTTTTTATTCTACACTTCTTATTCTTTTCAACACTTCAGGGGTAAAGTCGAGTAGCTTGCAGTTAAATGGCTGTTTATGGTAAGCGTAGCAAAGTCTTTCGCTAATCAGTAGTACGTCAAAACATACATGTTTATTCGATTCTTGTACGCAACCTATATCTTTAAAACTGGGTGGGAAAACTGTGGAATAGAACATTTTTCTTTTTTCTCTCTTTCTTTAATAAAGTAGGCACCCCATAATATATATTAAAAAATTTCATTGCTTTTCAGGCTCTCAAGAAATACACACTTTAAACTTTAACCCAATCTCCTCAAACTTCGCCTAGATTTGAAAGTTGTTCGTAGTTTGTTATGGTGGAAAGAGCCCCCTCTCAAATGTCATATTTAAAAACATCAAACTAAGTCATGACAATCTCTTTTCATGAAGGAAAATAGTGGAATTTCATGTGGGAAACTCATTTCCATTCGGTGATAAATTACCTACGCCTTGTCCTCATCCATTTAACCCTTTGTTCACGTTGAAAGTGTTCCCACAGGGTTTGACCATACACTCAACTGTGTGGTAAAACAGCTGCACGCGATTGCGTGCTTCTGATCGATATGTAAATAAGTTCAACATATAATTATGAGGTTAGAACAAATGGTGTAAAAACTAGCTGGAAATTATCTGAGACATCATGGACAAGATATATGAAGCTATAGCATCTGAGAGCAGGGTCCCATAGCGTCAGTATCCCAAGAGATAAATGTGTGTGTGTGTGTGCATGTGTGCAATCTCAGCTCACTGGACTCTACACATACATTGATTGGCACTTTGCCATGAGCTGAGTGGCGGTAATAATCAGGTTTTTAACACATAGAACGCCCCGGGTTTAGGTCGAAACAATAAGCTCTTTGCTGTAGCGAAGTTTGTAAGTATTAACCATGCACTTTGAAAAAACATTAAATACATTGCATGCGCATTATACCCAAGCTCTGATATAAGCCTTTTACACAAATAATTAATTTCTTTCTTCCAGAGAATTCAAATTTTTCGACTTTATAGAAGCTAGTTCATGAATCTATTGTCAATTTTCAAGAAATCATAATTTAGAAACTTTTGGTACTTTTTGCATCTTCTTGAGGAGCGAACGTTCGGTAAGTTGATATTTTGGAAAGCAGTTATGATAAAACATCAAACTCTTTTAGAAAATCGTTAGTGATCTGATTTATGCAATCAAGTATAAGGGGTGTTCGAAAAGAAACGGCATTTTCTTTATCATAAACTAATATAATGACTTCTTAAAGTAATTTAACAGTTTTTAAGCAACAAACTATGTCATATGTAGTTCGTTGCCTGATTAGGGCACTCGACTCGCAGTCTGCGGGTTCGCCCTTTCAGACGTGGAGGCGTTATAAAGTGACGGTCAGGCACACTATTCGTTGATAAAAGAGTAGGCCAAGAGATGGCACTGATTGATGTTAACTAACCACATTCCCTCTAATCTGTCACTTCTAAAATAGGGACAGCTAGCGCAGATAGCTCTCGATTAATTTTGCGAGAAATTCAAACCAAAAGAGGAAGATGTCAAGATTGCACCTGACCCTCCCAGGTCCAAACAAGGACCTAAATCTCGATGAGGCAGAATCAGCGAATGTACTTCCATGACAAGTGGCGGCAACACAATTATAAATAGGCAACCACGAGTGCCAACGATTTGGAAAACATGTTTGTAAGGACTGCCGTTAGAAGTTTGGATGGTCATTCCTTTCCCATCCGGCTTGGCACCATATTTTTGGTTCTCTGGAGCACTGTCTGTGGGGGCAACGCTTCCAGTCAACAATAATACGCGAACCTAGTCATAATAACACATCAACATCCTACCGAACTGACAATATGAAGCTTATGGAATGACGAATAAAATATAATGTACTTAGTAGTGTTTATGTTAAGAATTGGTGTCTTACTGTCCACAACCACAAAATCATAGGTTTATTTTTATTGGTTGCGATTTGATATAGTTGGCTATGGCAATCCAATCCGTTTCTATACGTTCCTTGCATATTCGTTCCATTGAATAAAAGCTTAATTTAAGATTTTATAATTTATTCCACACCTCATTTTCGGATATTTTATATTTATTTTTAACATAAACCACCCACATGTAAGTTTCTGAGAGAGTATAATATTAGAGTAACAAGAACCCTTACTTGTATTTCTAAATCTTTTTGGTCCGATAGATTTTGTGTTAATCGTAAGTTCGCAATTACGATTTCTGTAAACACATGTTTGAAGAACTAATACTAAATGACTGAGACTTTTATAAACACATGTTTGGAGAAATAATACTAAAAGATTTCTGTATACACTTCACTGAAGAATAATATTAAATTATTCATGTCATTACAAACTTTCCTATGCTTGGGTAATACTAAGTTTGGTTATTCATGACGTATTCAAGGAATATTCAAATGGACGTTTCATTCAGCATTAAAATAATGTTCCTTTACAAGTTATACTTTTGAATATTTTGAACACAACGTTGGGGCAAAACAATATTCTACAGTGAAAGTATTCCCGAATGATACAACATAGAAAATGGAACGCGTGTTCATTAAACATAATACAACGTATCGACATGGGAATATGTTCGTTCTATATACTGGCTGTCAATAATAACGATGTGAGGACTACATAAGAACCAATATAGATGAAATTCAACTAATATGGTGTTTCCTCCGTTTAGCAAGGAGCACTTGAGTCTTCATTAATAGATATAACCAACTGAACTGAAATAAAATAGGTTGAAGTTTGAAGTTATTCACTATTTAAAGTGTACAAATATTTATCATTGTTACGCAACGAGGAATGGTGCACTTGGGTCACAACAGCAATATGACGAAGCCTATTGCAATATAAACTACACTATAAGAATATTGTCGAGATGAACAGTCGTCAGATAGTTTGTTTGTTTGAAGTTAAGCACAAAGCTACACAATGGGCTCTGCCCACCACGGGTATCCAAACCCGGATTCTAGCGTTGGAAGTCCGCAGACTGGGGGGGGGGGGAGCTCGTCAGATGGAGCATCAACGTTCTTGACGACATGGAATATAACGACGTGGTGCATAACCTTTGTTTTAACCTTGAAAAGTATGGTATTAACCACATGTGAGTTTGGAATATTGTATCCCCATGAAGAAAAAGTATTCCCCTTGAAACTCCTTACCGTTTATGTGTTTCAACTTTCAGATAGGTATTGAAATATTAATACTTGCTTTTTCATTTTTTATAGTGTATCTAAAAGTGAACTTCGCACTGAGGGGGTTATTTTTGCATAAATTTGGCAATGAAAGTTTTGAAAAATAACATGTATAAAAGTGAATGGAAATTTTATGTAAGGTAAAAGCAGATGTGCAGAACTCTGTTCATTTCTTTCACGTAAATACAATCAAAAATAGCGTTTTCTAGTAACTTTTTTTCCCTATTACTGAATCTTTGTATATATTTCTGTTGCTGAAATTGATGTGGCGATATGTAGGGCTGACTTCATTGCTTGTTTTTTTCGAAGTTAGGTCTAAAAGATGAATTTAAAAACATTTTTATAGAAATTTTGGTGGTTACTATGTCGACTAGGGCCGCTGCAATTTATTTTCTATGGTTTCCAGATACAATCTTGTGAAAATATGTGAAACACATACATTTATGGATGAAGTTAATCTCGTAGGTACTTGATAAGGAACGAGAATTCGTCATTAATCCTAAATTTTTAAGACAAAAATAATTCCTTCTTGCAGTATATTTGAACAATAGCTTAAGTTTTGAAACATTTAAAGTTTAAAATATAACTTAATTATGCCAAAACTGTCAAAATTAAATATACCAGACATCAAAAGTAAGCAGGATATATATTTTTGAGTTTTTTTCTGCAACATGGTTTTGTTCTTATATCAATATATTCGAATGGACAACCACCACTTTTTGTGTTATGGTTTAAAATATCACAAAATTAACTTTAATATTTTTAAATGGTTAGCGTTTACTAATTACTATCATTACATAATGAAATATCATTAGTAGCCGATTAATTTGCCAGTTTTAGAAAAGTCATTTGGTAAAAATCATGGAAAAATTTTTTGGGATGAGTTTTATTTGGTTTTAGTGTTCGAATTATTACTGGTTCTTGAATATCATGAATTATGTGGTTTACTGGGTTGATGAATGCTGATATACCTAGAAATTGTACTTCTCATTGTCCTTGTATGGGGTTTGTTACCTAACATGAGCATGTTCTGAATTATGATATACATCATCAAAAAGAGATTAGTCACGAGTGTTGGATTTAGCAGTTGTTCAAAATAAAATGGCATAAAGATGATCTATTAATAAAAACCACACAAGAAATTTTCTCATGCAAAATCATATAAAATCCCATTGGATGACAATACTTACCATTGAATTAATTGGGCCTGATAGAACCTGATGTGGCTGGACACTGCACTTTTTGTAGTTGATCATGATATGGCTAAACAGTGCAATTCTTAGCTAGTTATGATATGGCTGGACAATGTTGTTCTCAACTGATCGTGATATGTCTAAACACTACAACTTTTCTCTGGCTATTATATATTTAGACACTGCAGTTCTCAGCTGGTCATGATATGGTTAAACACATTTCATTTGTTAGTTAGACACAATATGGTTATGTATTGTACTTCATAGCTAGTCATGACATGGCTGAAAACTACAATTCTTAGCTGGTAATGATATGATTAGACAATACAGTCTAATATGCTAAACCATACAGTCTAATATGCTAAACCATACAGTTCTGTAATCCTTAATCCTTCATAATATGTTTAAACACTGCAATTTTTAGCTGGTCATGAAATTGTTAAACACTACAGTTTTAAGATGATAATGTTATGGTTAGGAATAGCACTGCAGTTCTTAATTGTTCATAATATGCTAAACATTACAGTTTTTGACTGTTCGTGATATTCACCAATGGAAATAATTATGAAAACACAAACGACACATAAAATTAGTCACAAGTAATGAATAATGGCAGCTAGTTGGTGAATTTATTAATGGTACAAAATATTACCACAGAAAATACAAAATAAAATAAGTTATACATTGTACTAGCATATTGAATGTGAGCCCTTTGCTTTACATAGTACATTGCACGTCGTTTTCATGCTGACATACAGTTTATCAATGTATGATAGTAGAATATTGTTTTAATCATCTCTCGATGATTCGCTTTTCTGAAGGAATGAGATTATGACTTTGAATCTGCCAATACTTTTCAGCAGTGAAGTTACCATCAATTTTGTGAAGATCACCAACATCCTTTGCTGAGATATAGTCCCAAGTTGTATTAATCTTACACCATGCTTTATTACAGTTATTGTACTTTGCTTATGATATTTATTTTTCTATCCACCGTTGGTCGGACTTTCATTGATTGTTGTCAAACAATTCGAATTTAGTTTGATATGTAAAAAAAACAATATCTTCAGCTTTCCTCATTCAACTGTTTGTGGTTTCATGCCTACTTTATCTCCTTGGTTTGGTTACTTCTTGTCGCTAATCCATTGAAACTACTTCCTGCTAATGCTTACCATACTATTTTCGAGGTAACATTCATACATATATTTACAGCAAGATCTGTGCCTGAACGTCATCTATCTCATAAAGAATGTATTTTTAAATAATTTTCATTCTTTTTGGAGCCTTTTAATTTTTTTCCTCGGCCACTTCTATTATGGCAATGCCAGTGTCACGCATACTTTGCCCTGCAATAAGACTTTGGCAATTTATATTGCTCGCGTGGAGTAACCTTGGTCAGCCAAACATTTGATTTCTACATGCTTGCCAGACAGTATTTCAATCCTGGGAGCCGTGAATGTATTCACACTACTATTACTACGGTCATATTATAACTGTCTGTACTTTTATAGACTTTATACTAGTGTGACACTTTCTGATTGGAAGAATGACAATCAATAACAGTGTAAACTATCAACAAGTGTCTGAAATCTAGAGTAGTTTATTTTCATACAATAAATTTTCAAAGTACTTGCCTTTCATACCCTTTTCCTTTAATAACCATGTACCGATACTTCAAATTTTGTGTATTTTTTTGATTCAGTCAGACATTTTGACAAGACTCGGGTTTCGTAAATCTTTTTGAATAAAAAAGTATGAAATAAAATGCTACTACATATCATACCTAGATACCTGTCAGGATAACAATTGGGCAAAGGCACTTACCACTCGTATTGCTAACAGATTATCTTTTGATATTAATTATTATCAATACACAGTTTAAGAAAGTTGCCAAGTTGGGAGAAAGCACAATCGTACCCCCACCCCACTCCTCCTGTGTTTAGTTAATGTTAGTTCGAGGCTTAATCACAACATTGCCTACCTCTAATTCTTTACTGATCTTCTTCTTGTTATTTTGAAGTTTAGGTTCTAAAGGGGGCATCGTCTTGATCAGAATCTCTGCTGCTTCTGCTAATCGTTGGATTTGATTTTCATCGAGAATCGGTGTAAGGGAAATAGGGGAACCCGGTTGTCCGTACTCTCCCGAGCCCTTAGAACAACAAACAAACAAACAAAAATAACTTACTGCATTTAGCCTTTACATCAGTATTACTGTTTCCCTACTGCATTGGCCTTATTATGGAACATACCAAATGTACAATAAAATTATTATCTATTTTCAATGACACATTCATGAAAACACATTCATTTAATGAAATTCTCATAATCAAATGTAATATTTAAACCCTTTAAGAAGTGATTTACTAGATTTGCTCAATCAATTCTGATTCTCTCTACAAGAGTGCCTGATGCTATCATAGTAAAATCACATCTTAATGAATTGGTGCGCAAAGATAACCCCTAATTCTCACCTCATTTTATGAATAGAGGCACAAAGATAACTCCTTGTTTTACGACATCTTAATGAGCTGATGCCTAAAATAACTCATTCTTTTACTATATCCTAATGAATTGATGTGTGTTGGATATACAAGACTGATCACTTTGAGAATTATTATTTAGTTTATTTAGTGATTTAATACTAAATGATTATTTCGTTTTCATAACAAGAGTGTTAAAAGTTAATTATTTTAAAAGCGATAGTTATGACAAGTTTCGTTACGTAACTCTGTACGAGTTGTACGTTGTGTATGCAGTTTAATTGTTGTACTAGGCTTTTGTAATATTGTTGACGTGCCTTTATCGTTATGTTTAATATTATTGTTACTACAGGGCTAGATATTTCTAGATTTTTATTTCGCGTGTTATAAATACGAGCAGATACAGTGGGAAAGTAAAAAGTAAGTTAGTTAAAGTGAAGTTACACTGCGTGATTGTCACTGTAGGCATAACGGTCGATTTCTGAAAAAGAAAGTTTCACAGTTTATTTATAGAAACAGAGATAGAGAAGAAAAATTCGTCTTGTCAAAGGGTGTTCTAAAGTAATTGAACCAGCTTAGGTGGACTTTTAACAAAAGAAAGAGAATTATTTAAAGCTCTAGATACAACTGTGGTAACCAACAGAGTAACGTAAGTAAATCTATTGCTGACTGTATTGTGATAAAAGAGGAGAAAAGAAAAATGATCCATCTTGCCAATTAGAGTCTAAAGTAACTAAACCAGCCTGTGTGGACTTTTGACGAAAAAATATAATTATTCAAAGCTCTAGATTCAATTGTGGTAAATAATAGTGTGACGAATTTTTTTGTACTTAGGTTTGACTTGTTTGGGATATATATATTATTTTAAAACAAGTAGATTGTGTGCTGTCCGTTTATCATTGAAATTTATCGCCAACACGTCGCAGACACTCATTGTAAAGAATCACAGCCCCTATACGAAACCTGACATTTGGCGAGCCAGCTAGAATAATACAGAGGTAAATGGCGGTAGAAATAAACGTGAACGAGAGCAGAAGTAGGCTTATATACGCAAAACTGTAGTAGTGGTGAAAATAGTGTAGAGATTACAATCACGCTATATAACCATGTCAGCTGATCTTGATAAATGGATAGAGAGAGCAGAGGGACTTGGGTTAAAAGATGGTGATCTATGAGAGTTTGTTAAACAACAACAAGAGGAACTAGAGAGAGAAAAGTGGTAACAGATGAGAGAGAAGAAGAAGCAGAGAAGAGAGAAAGAAAGATGAAAGAAGAAAAAGGAGAAAAGCAGAGGGAGACAGAGAAAGGAGAGATTGGAAATAGAGAGAATCGAACCTCAGGGTTTAGCATTGTAAGTCCGTTAACTTATCATTGACCAACAAGACACCCTTTTCTGACCACATCCTATTGAATTAGTGCGCCAAGATAACTTGTATCGTTCAATACTTTATTTAATCAAACCTTATTAGACGTGAATAACTAGTTCATATCCCAACTAATATATGCGACTATATATATATATATATGTGTGTGTGTAAATTTTGCAAATATATTTGGGTCTCCAAGGTTTAAGGATCTTTGTTAGTGTGTTTCTTTAATGGCAACCAAAAGAATAAGAAAGTCTAAACAGTACTAGCGTCATCGAAGTCTTATTTTAGAGCGTAAGGCAACTTTTCAGGTAATAATGCTTCGAGACGGCTTATTTTGTTTTTTGTATTGATTTTCACGCAAAGCTACACGAGGGCTATCTGCGCTAGCTGTTTTTAATTTAGCAGTGTAAGACTAGAGGGAAGGCATCTTGTCATCACCGCCCACCGTCAACTCCTGGGCTATTCTTTTACCAACGAATAGTGGGATTGACCGCACATAATAACGCCCCACGGCTGCAAGGGCGAACATGTTTGATCGGACAAGGATTCGAACTTGCGACATTCAGATTGCGAGTTGAGCGCCCTAATCACCTGGCCATGCCGGGACGGCATGTATACGTATAGTGGACTTTACTGGTGATTTTAGGTTAGCATGTTCGTTTACACGTGTTAATACTTTTATTTTTGATAGAACCAATGTAACCCTGCTGACAGCAGGGACAAGTGAATTTGTAAACAACAATATATGATTGTAAAGACGGAATTTGGTCCGTAAATAGACTAAAAAAAGAACTAAGGCAGCAGCTAGGTTTAAAAATGTAACTCAGCTGTATCTGTGGGTATACCCTACAGATAACATTTTTCAGCTGATATTTAATATTCAAAGGATATTTACCCATATAGGGTAGACTAATAACCAAAGAGTTTTTAGGTACGACAGAAATACAGAGAGAAACCACACTTCACTTATTTAAACAGCAAAGAAGTATTCTATCAATGAAATAACATGGAAAATCATTTTTACACAATAATTCTTTGATATTTACAAATTCTTTATGCAAACCATCATATGTGCTAGATATCTCATAAGCACGGTGAAAAACCATTTTAATTAAACCTTCTTTAAAGATGGTAGGAATGAAGTTTGCGAAATTAAAATATCCTATAAAAGATTTTGATGGTACACTTCACATTTAAAATGTTCATAATTTATCAAAGTGTCCAAGAATGGAAGTTTTGATCTTCCTGACTTCCAACATATTGCTGTGTCTACTTTTCATATACTGTAAAAATTGGGAGACCTGATAAGTTTTTAAAAATGGTAAAAGTATCATCAACATACCTACGATACTAAATGGTTTACACTATTGTGGACAGTTGTTCAACGATTGCTCTTCGCGGAAGCGCAAAAACAAATTGGCAAGAGATGGGGCTAACTTTGAACCCATGGCGACACCATCTATCTGACCATACAACTTACCATTCAAACTAAAATGAGAATCTTTAATGACAAGATTGATCAACTGAGAAAAAAAAACGGATTTCGGAATGCTTACTTCGTTAGAATTATCGTTCTAAATCAGATCAGCTCCCAGCTGTACAGTTTCTTCTAATCGTACATTAGTATATAATGATTCGATGTCAAAACTGGCATAGTGAACGTTACTATTGAATTTCAGTTGTTGATTTTCATGGTAGAACTCAAAACTGTTATTTAGGGTTATTCATTTATTGTGGCGAACTTCTTTAAGCATTCTACCAAAAAACCACCAAAGCATGATCACAAGTTCCAATACTGGTCGCAAGGGGCATCCTGTTTTATGATTGTTTGTTTGTTTTTGATTTTCGCGCAAAGCTACACGAGAGCTATCTGCGCTAGCCTTCTCTAATTTAGCAGTGTAAGACTAGAGGGAAGGCAGCTAGTCATCATCACCCACCGTCAGCTCTTGGCTACTCTTTTACCAACGAATAGTGGGATTGACCGTCACATTATAATGCCCCCATGGCTGAAAGGGCGAGCATGTTTGGTGGGATGGAGACCTGTTTTATGAACTTTTGTAATCCACAGAAGATTCATGGATGACTCCCTGATAATCTAATATTCCAATACCGTTCTTCCTTTAAAATGTTATCTTTTTTCATTTGTAGCAAATATCATTGCAACTTAGTCTCCCTTTTATCCGTAGGCTCATATTGTAATTTCACAAATTTGGTAGAATCACCTACAATTTCTTCTGTTTTTCACAAGTATTAACTTTTATATAGAATAACAACATTATTCTCTCTATCTGAATTAGAAATAACAATACTATAATTTATTATAAGATTTTTTAAAGCTTCAAATTCTTCTGAACTTAGATTTTAAAAATGTTTGTAATTATTATTATAATTATTGAAAAGAATCAAGGCTAAACCACTAGTTTCAGTATTGATATTACTAAAAGATTGCCCTGATTGTTTCAAAATATGTTGATGTGACACAATTTGTAAAAATATTTCAAATTGTAAAAAAAATAATCTTCAAACTTAAGTCTATTTGGAATACCAAATTTTAAACCGCGAGTCAAAACCTTTTTTCAACTTCAGTTAACATATACTTAGAATAATTAATTATCACTTTATCAGGATTTTCTGTGAAAGGATTTTTACCTAACTGTCGCCTCAAATTATTAACTTTATCCAATTGTCTGTTTTTAGCATTCATCAAAATTTTATTATTTTGTATCTGTATAAAATGTTTCAAATTTATGAAATATAAAAAAAATGTTTCGTTTTCAAGAAGCTTCAATGTTTCACTAGATTGTCGAGTTAACCATTTAAGTAACTGATTTTTTGTCTTATTTCAAAAATAATACTGTCTTGAATAGCGGAATTGTGAAACAGAAATTTTAAAGTTAAGAAAGGGAGGGAAACTTTTAACCGTTTACGTTCATTTAGAAAATATAAATGTTTCGATTCTTATAAGATTTTAAAGGCAGTTTTTCAGTATTTCTAAAAAGAGCTAATATTGATGTACCATATCTATGTCTAATAGCTTCTGAAATTGGTTTGAGGAAATCTTAAATATAATATGAATTTTATTACTAAGTAGGATATCGATAACCCACATAAAGATTGAGGGAATAAAATATGACACCCATATGTAAACTAAACTGAACATAACATTTCTTGTGTCGTCAAATATTCTAGTATTATTTTAGTATACAAGTCTTTCTACTGCCCTTATATTACATAATTTAGGAAACACTGTATTTACATTATATCAAATACGCAAGTTTAATTAAGTAAACAGTCTATTC